CTTAGCACTTCCACATGCGTTACTTCTGGGGGTTACACGGGAGGAGGAAGAATCACCCCCTCCCGGGCCTGGCCTGCAGGGTCTCTGCCTGGTGCTGGCGCCACACGAGGGGGAGTGTCCCGCAGAGCCCACCGCCCAGGGGCCTCCAGGCCACCAGCTGGGCCTGTGCGTTGGCGGCTCCTGAGAGGACCTGGGAGTGAAAAGTTCAGCCACAACATAAAGATTCATGTTTTTGGTTTAAGAACGCGCACCTGCTGCCATTTCCCGAGTGCCCCCAACCCCCGCCTCCGTGTGCAGCAGCTCCTCGTTCCCTGGTGCTTGTCTCCCAGCTCTACCACTTCCTCCTTGTCCAGGGCAGGATTGCAGCCTCTCTGTCTCCTCCCTGTGGCCTGGGCAGCAGCGGTGGCTTAGCCTCAGGGGAGAGCCCTGTCCTACAAAGCTTGGGCACAGAGGACACGCTCCTCAGACAAGAGTTGCCACATTCGAGTCCTTGAGACCCTCAGCTGGACATGTAGGGTTAATAGGAAATTTCATTAAGGTCAGACAGACAAGGAATTCAAGCACAGGGTTATTCCTGATTCCAGAGCCCTGGCCACTCTTGCTGCAGCCTGTCCAGCAGGTGGCCAGCTCCCCTCGAATGACAGATAGGTTGTGTGATTCCTCGTGTGGGCCCAGAGCTCTAGCCCAGAGGCTCTGAATTAAATTCTCAGTGAAAAGTGCTTTTCAAACCACCACTTCCTGTATGTCTGTTTCAGTTCTTCTAGGAAGCTATTTCACCCAATACTGTAGACTGGAGTTTTCAAGCTGGAAAGAGTGAGCAACGTGACCAGTGGAAACAGGCAGGGACAGAGCTCCTGGCCAGGGTCCTGTCACAAGACGTGGGGCCCAGGAGGAAAGAGAGTCACCCACCAGCCCCTGGCGGTGAGTACAGAGGGGCTCGGCCTGTGTCGCCTCCTGAACACAGAGCAGCGACGTGTGCCACGCATGTAGCGTGGAGCAGCGACGTGAAGAGAAGCGTCGGCCCGAGGACAGTGTCCAGGCCTCTGGGGTGGGAGTGCAGGAGCAGCATTCCCAGGGAAGCGCGGAGCAGCTTCGCTGTGTGGTCTCCTCTGGTGCTGGTTGCGTCAGGGCTGGGCCCGGGTGCAGGAGACAGCTTGTCCCGCCTGGAGGTGGAGATGGGAAGGCTCGGGGTTGGGGGCTTCCCTGCCTCTGCTGCTCCCGAGTCAGCTCTTCAGCTCAGAGTAAACTGATGCGAAGAGGACCTTGTGGTGACACACACTGGCTTCCTTCAGCCCCGAGCCTGGCGGTGACCCTCACAGCTGCCCCTGACCTCTGTGGGGGGAAAGAACCCAGGCCAGGCTGCGGGGATGCCCCAACAAGCTGGGGCTCAGAGGGGCCCGGGAGGCTGCCAGGTTGGGGCCGGTCGGCAGCTGGACACGGCCGGGTACGTGTCCCCCACAGGGTGGGGGTTTGCCTGCGAGGAGCCAGGGTCCTCACCTGACTGTGAGCACACGCTGAATCCACCTGTGAGGCTTGGAGACGTGGCTCACCATCACAAAGCCCTTTCCTGTAACATCAGTCCAGGCGTGAGCTGAATCCCTCTCTTGGGACCAGTGTCGTGGTTGAGGGAACCTGTCCACTGGAAGACAGCAGATTGGTAGAGGGCCTGTGAGCTGCTCTGGGACGCCATCCCCGCCGTGTGTGCGCTTTGGAAGTGGTTCAGACGGGTGGTGGGATAGCCGGCTGGGGGTTGTCTGGTCGGCTCCTGGTAGGCGTGAGGTCATCCAGGGAAGGGTTCCTTGGAGGTGATCCCCGGCCCCTGTCAAGCCCAGGCCGCACCTCAGTCCCTGGACCGGACCCTGGGCTCCTGCAGTGTTGTGGCAGAAACACACAGTTAATCTTCATCCCCAGCTCCTGGCTGGAGCTCCCCAGGCCCCCGCGGTTTCTGGAGAGAGGAACGTGCCAGAGCGTCTCTCCTCCTGGTGTGTGGTCTTTGTCGGGCCCGGTGTCAGCTGTGGGCTTGCCATTTGCAGTCTGTACTACGTTCAGGTGCATGCCTTCTACTCCCAGCTTGTGGTTTTTGTCTTGAAAGGATGTTCAACTTTGGCAAATGCTTTTTCTGCATCTACTGAGGCGATCGTTCGGCTTTTATCTTTCACTTCACGAATATGATGCACCACTTTGCCTCCCAGGCGGAAACCCTACTTGATATCACGCGAGACCCGTCCAGCGTGCTGCGGAATTTGCTTTGCTGGTGTTTGACTGAGAATTTTACGTCGACTTTCATCGGGGACACTGGCTTGTGGTCTTCTTACAGTGTCCTCATCTGGCCTTTGTAACTGGGTGATGC